CTTCTACAAAAGTAGGATTTCACTCATCCTTTCTGTATGCACTCAGTGGGGTTTTGTTTGTGTTTCTTGGGCAGAGATATGTGGGGCTAGAATGGATATCACCAATAGATGGTCAAATTAAGGTATACCGAATATGAACGCTCAAGCATGTTTAGTATATCCAGGATATTTAGTGTCTCATATATTTAATGTCATGTATGATTTATATATTATGACTATTTAGTGCCCAAGTGCCTCAGGAATATTAGATATCCTTCTCTATCTGTGTTTAACACACGTGTGCTCTACCTGATTATTTTATGCTTACCACGACCCATGAATTCTACCTGTGAAAAACAGTTTGCTTACTGGCTACTAATCTATAGTTAAAATGTCGTAAAGGTTTTGCCTGTGTTTTACAAACTATAACCTTATTCATCTAATTGAATACAATATTCTCAAAATGAATGTACATTTCATACGCTGTTTCATGCAATAAGGACATATAAAGTCACCACCATTTTCTGTAATCATCATTATGTAAAAGAAAAAATATTGTAACACCAAAAAAGTAAGAAGGATATATTCTCAAAGTATCACTTGCCTTATTTTTCTCCTTTTGCTGAATACCAGTGAAAATTTTATCATAGATTGGATCTAATCCATGTCAGCACTTAGGAAGCACTCTTCCTAAGTAGCGATTATCAGATGTTTAGCTCTATCTACCTACAATGTGACAATCCAAAGCAAACTCTATAAGATCCAGAATAACTGAATTATATATCTCCTTAAGTACAGGAAAAAAACCGCACCCACTTCTACCAAAACTAATATGAAAACTAATTTAGGTATATGTTTCTATATTGTTTTTCTTAAAGAGTCTTGGATATGCCTAATTCTTTGATGTCACCTATATCTTGCCTCAGAAATAAAGAAACAATCAGTTCAGTAGCCTCAGATGAGATCCTAAAGGAGATAAGTATTTAACACTTCTATAAAGTACAGTATTGATTATATTTGCTCTGAATTGCAATTGGCTCTTAATTGGTCTCTTCATCTCTATTTTCCTTGGCTTTCTGTAACACAGTGAAGGTGTTCTTTATAAAATGTAATTTTAACCATTTCTTTCCGTGCTCTCAGGTTCTGTAGAGTAAGGTCCTTAGAAACCACACAATCTTCAATGATCTGACCCTTGCCTACCAATCAGCCTCATCTCTCTCTACTCCCCAGCTGTATCACACTACTACTTGTTCTACAAGGCCACTGCTAGTTGTTTCCTTTGCCTGGAATGGCCTCCATGCATCTCCATGTTATTGGCCAAGTGAACCATACTACTTAATGTTTCAAAGCCCAAGCTCGAGCAGTATTTTCTCTGTGATGCCCTCTTTGTCCTCATCCTAGAAAGTTAATCACTCCCCTTCCTAAGTAATCCTTACACCCTGAATATATTTCTCCTATTTCATTTCTCACATTTCACTGCTCTTATTTGTTTACCTGTTGATTTTCCCCTAATAGACCATGAAATCCCTAAGGGAACATTCTATTTATTTTTAGATCCTAGAAAAATACCTAATATAGAATAGGACCAGTAGATGTTCATTAAATGAATGAATGAATAATGGCTGTTTGAAAAACTAGAAAAACTTAGCCATACATTTGCCAAATAATTTCCTAGCCTTCTACCTTTATCAACTATATAAAATATTACAAAAGTCTAGTCAGTGTTTATTATGTGTTTCAGAATGTTGTACACCCTTTTGTGGAAGTTTCTTTTCAGCATAATGTATACCAAACCCATACTGCAAGTGGATCTCATCCATGCTGGAATGAAGAAATTAAAGTAGATTTTATGTAAGTTGGGGTCCATTTTTCCACATCTCCTAAAAAAAGAGCAATAACAAAATTATTTCCTTGAGCCATTTATTGTATATGATGATTGATATAGGCTTTATTTTTTAAGCTTTTAAATTATGAAATATTTTATACATATAAACTAATATGTGATATATATGTAAACATAAGTTCTGAAGAAAAATAAAATTAATACCTATGTATCCACCATTCTGCTTGAAAAATAGAATATTACCAATACATTAGAAGGCCATCTGTGCCACAACCTAACTGCATCCTCTTTTTTTCCTCCCAGAGATAACAACCATGAATTTGTGTTTATCATTCTTCTCTAATCACTCTTTCTCTTCCTTACAATTTTACTTCATAAATATTTATCCCTAGCTATGTATTATTTATTTATGCATGTTTTCAACTTTATGTAAATTGAGTTATATTTATGGATTCTTCTGCAATCTTGTTTCTTTACTCTTAATTATTTTGAGAAATTCATCTATGTTCATGCTTACAGCTGTCTACTATGGTTTGAATGTGTCCCACCCAAATTTATTTGTTAGAAACTCAATCCCCAATGCAACAGTATTGGGAGGTGGAACCTAATGGTGTTTAGGTCATGAGGACTCCACCCTCATGAATGGATTAATTATAAAAAGGGCTTGTGGGAGTGGGTTCACCCTCTTCTGTTCTTCTGCCATGTGAGGACACAGCATTCCTCCCTAGCTTGCCCTTTGACCTTATGCCATGTGAGTATATAGTAAGAAGGCCCTCACCAGACACCAGATGCTAGCACCTCAATCGTGGACTTCCCATCCTCCATAACTGTAAGAAATAAATTTCGGTTCTTTATAAATTACCCAGTCTCAGATATTCTGTTATAGCAGCACAAAACAAACTAAGGCACTATTATTTATTTTCACTTTTATATAGTATTACATTGTATGAAAATGCCACAATTTATTTATATTTTTTTCTATTGATACACATTTGTCTTTTGTTCAATTTTTTGCCATTACAAAAAAATGCTTTGGACATTCTTGCACTTACCTTCTGGAGCACATGTGCAAGACTTTCTTTTTAAGACAGTGGCTCTCAAACTTTTTTATGCATTAGAATCACCTAGATAACTTCTTAAAACATAGTTGCTGGGCTCCCCTCCCTAGTTTCTAATTCAGTAGGTATGGAATAGGGCCTGATAATTCCATTTTTAGCACGTTCCCAGGTGGTACTAATGCTATCAGGTGACAACACTTTGAGAACTTGTGCACTAGGACTGCAGTCTCCAACCCCCTGGCCACAGCCCAGTACCCCGGGCCTGTTAGGAACCGGCCTCACAACACCACCTGAGCTCTGCCCCTCTCCCCACTCCACCCCTACACTCAGCCCCAGCCCCCGCCAATTGGTGGAAAAATTGTCTTCCATGAAACTTAGGAACTGGGGCCACACAGCAGGTGTGTGACAGGAGAGCAAGCAAAGCTTCATGTATATTTACAGCTGCTACAGCTTCCCCATTGCTCACATCACTGCCTGAGCACCCCTCAACCCTGCTCCCCAGTCAGTGGAAAAATTATCTTCCTCGAAACCAGTCCCTGGTGCCAAAAAAGTTGGGGATCACTGCTCTAGGATATATGCCTAGCGGTAGAATTGCTAGGTTGTAGCTAAAGTCAGCTTCAGCTTTACTGGATAATGCCAAACTGTTTTCTAAAGTGATTGTACCAATACATACTCCCAACAGCAGTATATAAAATTTCCTATTGTGCCTTACATATCTTCAATAACATTCTATATTTTTAAAATTATTTTTCCCAATATGATTGATCTAAAATGGTAGTCTCATTATGGTTTAGTTTATATTCCCATATTTCTAATGAAGTTGAGCTTTCATCAATTTTAAAAAATTAACCTACTTTATTTTTTAGAGAAGTTTTAGGTTCACAGTAAAAGTAGGTGCAAAGTACAAGAGAGTTCCCCCAAACCCCCTCACCACAACACACATTCAGCCTTCCTCAGCATCAACACCCTGCATCAGTGTGGTACCTTTATTATTAATACACTCCATGAGCCAACATTGACACAGCATTATCAACCAAAGCCCATAGGGGTCACACTTTGTGTTGTACCTTCTATGGGTTTTGACGAATGTATAATGACATGTATCCACCACTATAGTAGCATACAGAAGAGTTTCACTGCCGCAAAAATCTTGCGTGCTTCCTCTATTCATCCCTCCCTCCCTCTGGAACCTCTGGGAACTACTGATCTTTTTACTACCTCCACAGTTTTGCCCTTTCCAGATGTCATTGTATGAATCAGGACTTTCCAGAGAAACAGAACCATTAAGATATGTGTAAAGAAAGAGAGAGAAAGATTTATTTATTTTAAGGAATTGTCTCGCACAATTGTGGAGACTGGCAAGCCCCAGCAGGATAGGATAGCAGGCTGGAGACCCAGGGAAGAGTTGCAGTTTGAGTCTGAAGGCAACCTGCTGGCAGAATTCCCTGCTCCACTGGGGAGGTCAGTCTTTTTTCTATTAAGGCTTTCAACTGATTGGATGAGCTCCACCCTTATTATGAAGGGTAATCTGCTTTAGTCAAAGCCTACTGATTTAAATTGCATCTGAGAAATATCTTCACACACACGCACAAATAAATTAATTAAAAATAAATTTAAAAAGAAAAACAAAAAAGTATTTTCACAGAAACATCTAGAATAATTTTTGGCCAAATGTCTAGAAACTGTGGCATAGCCGAGATGACATATAAAATTAACCCTCACGGTCACATAGTTGGAATTATACCATAGGGAGTCTTTTCAGATCAGCTTATTTCGCTGAGTCACATGCCTATGAGGTTGCCCCACATCCTTTCATGGCTTTACTGCCCATTTCTTTCTAACACTGAGTAATAGTTTGTTATAAGGATGTGTCGCAGTTTACTTATCTATTCACCTGCGCTTCTTCTCATAAGTTTATTGATTGTTCGCATTTTCTTTTCTATGAAATGCCTTTTCATGCCTTTTGTCCATTTTTCTATTGTTTTGTCTATCTTTTCTTTGTAAGGGGTTCTCTATATATTATTGGGTTCCAGGCCTTTGTCAGTTATATGTGGTAAAACTATCTTTCCCTAATGGCTTGTCTTTTCATCTTCTTTATGATATATTTTGATGCAAAAAAGTTTTTAATTTTACCAATATTTTTCTTTATGGTTTGTGCTTTTAAAAAAATCTTGTTTAATGAATGATGGACTTCCTTTACTTTCCTTACTTTAAAATATATGTCAATTTGCATTAAAATGTTAAACCATTACACTTTCTATTTATTTATTTTTTCTTGATTCTGTATATTTTATTATTTCGCTGGATTGTGTAGTTACTCAAAGATCATAAAACTTATTGTGGGATGGAGGTGGGAGTAGAGAGGAGAACTGAGAAAGAAAATTTAATATTTTTTTTTTGACCATTGCAGTTTCTAAAGAATGATTGGAGATATCTTTCCCTATAATATTCCTGTATAAAGCAATTTTTAATTGTAATAAATCAGATTTTGAAATCCAAAAATAAATATCCACCTGTGTTTCTGTTTGCTACCAAGATGGAACAAAATAGATACAGACTAGAATAATCCTGATCCTGTAACTAAATTTGGTGTTTAGGAACACACACACACACACACACACACTCATGAGAGAGAGAGAGAGAGAGAGAGACAGAGAGAGAGAGAGAGAGGGAAAGAGAGAGAGAAAGAGAGAGAGAGATCCGTGAAAACTGATTTGATTCCATATCCACATCCTTTAATATTGCTGTGCTTTACTGCTGGTACAAATTTCCTTCATGAGCAGGTATCTGTAGCTATTAAATATCTATTTTTATCTTGAGAGGTGGGAAAATTGACTCTACACAAATTATTCATATATGTAGAGCAGGTTTTCTTATGGATTGGCACCATTTTGTATGGTTTTCTATGATTTATTTTGTATAATTTTCTATGAATATTTCATATTTCATATTATTTCATAGTTCATATAATACATGATTTTATATGATTTATATGCTTTGTACAATGCCTATGTTAATGTATATTCCCCCCCAACAAAGGCTACGGGGAACTCAGAACAGACATAATTGCTTGCGCATGTGTGATGCATCTTGTAGATTATATAAACATTCACATCCAGGTGCAGCTTCTCAAAGTAAAAGTCTCCAGATCCTAACCAGGATTTGCAAGAAAAGGGAGACCCTATTTATGCCATTATGCCAACTTGATTGGGGGGGGGGGCCCTAATGGATCAGTATACCTAGGAACTTTGCTATGGATACCTAGAAATTTCTTGCTATTAGCAGAAATCAAGTTCATTCTTCCAGATTCAACACAGGCTCAATTGTAATTTCAGAGTCTTCATTCAGAGTTCTAAACAGATGTCCTTGTTATTTGGTTGCCTGTCTGGACCTTGGACCTCTTGCTTTGCCTTGTTCTCTGATACTTGCTTTCTTGACCTTTTCATTCTTGTGTGTGAAGGAGAGTATTGACTTAAAGGAAAAATCTATTATGTTGTATTTTATAATATTAAGTTAAATAATTAGAATATAAAATGTATGTGCTTTAAAAGTTTACAGAGGTAAAATATGTGGTTATGTGTGTTTGGAGATATTTGGAATATTAATTTAGAGACATCAGAGTTAGAAGAAATATGCTGTATTAAATAAATTGATTTAGGAGATCATAAAACAGTCAATAAGATAAATAAACTTATAAGTGAACTGTAGAGTGTTTATATCCTTGCACTTATAGCAGTGAGATAAGCCAAGAACACATTTGAAATACAACCAGGTGGATCAGAGGGTTCAGTTTAGGCAAAACTGGCCAGTCACCACTTTTCTTGCCTCTTACAAGACCTCTTATTCCCCTCTCCCATAACATTTTAGTGAGTAAAAACCACATGCAAATGAAATAAATAGTAATAATAAATAAATAGTAATTAGCCCCATGATCCCTGCTTTGGAGAAGGAGTTGTGGTGAAATTTGGGGAAAGTGAATAGAATACAAAATACAAGATAACACAAAATGACTTGGGTGATATAAGAGATATACTAAGTTGACAAGCTAAAAACTGTCTTGAGAATGATAGTTGTCCTTTCTCCTGCTGGCATAGTGTTGTAAATATACATTGCCTCCCCTGCCCTGCCTTAGAGCAAGAGGAAAGGAAACCCTCGAGGAGCAAAGTAGAGGAATTAGCTTATTGTTTTACCACTTGGAAATGTAAGGAATCTTCGACTTAAAATTGTTCTCTAAACTCAACCAGCATTTTTCAGTTATCACTACCTGTAGGTCCCAGAAAGTTTTAGAAATTGTTGGGGATCCTTTGAAATTGTAGTTGTTTCCTTAAGCAACAAGCTTCAGCAAAACAAAACTTCAGTAGCAGCTGTGCTGTGAAAAGACCTGCTCTTTGGAGTCTACCAGAACTAAGTCCAGATCAAGGCTCTGTCACTTGCTGGTGGCATTACCTTGAGCAAGTTATTTAACTTCTCTAAGTTTCTATTTCCCCGTGTAAAATAACCTACTGTGTAGGATTGTGGTATCTATCGCCATTAGACATTTGATGGAGATTTAATATGCAAGCTAGAGCTGAGAGTGGAAGTTCATTGCTCGTGATATACACTCATTTCACCTACCCCCAAAACGTACCTAATCAAGTAAGTCAACAGCAAACAGCTCGCAAAATGAAATGCCCTACATTATCACAATTTCTGGTTGCAAAAAATAAATATGGGAAAGAGAATAAGCTCTGTGGTTAGACAATCATATCTATTAACTGAGAACAAAAGAGCATTTTAACTATATGTGTGAACTAGCAGAAACAAGCAAGATTTAAGATAGTTTGAAAATCTTAATGCACAATACTCCAGACAGTTGTTTGCAGTGGATGGCTGTAGTGAAAGCCTTTCTGCTTAACGTTTAAACATTTTTATTTTTCATCATAAAAGAGATATAAGTTACAATGCACATGATGGCTTTAATGAAAGGTAGCAGACAGTCTTCAAAGGATATAGCTTTTTCTTAGTTTACCCTTTATAAAAGAAAAGAACACAGGTAATTTCATAGTTCTTTATGAATAATGCTCTTAGAAAATAAATGGGTTTTGAGAAAATTAAGCATTTAATTATGTTTTTTTTTATTTGCAGCTCACCAGGACATGATTATAGCTTCTCAAGCTTATCTAAAATAAAAGATTATATATATATTAACATTTTTGATGAAATGATGATTGAAAAACATGAGGTAAAGTAGAATAATTATAACAACTAACACTGGAATGATTCTAAGAAGGTCAAACTGAATGAAGTCTAGTAATATTTATAAATTTGATTTTAGATGCAATATAAATATATATATCCAACATTTTCTTAAAAGGATTTGAGGCAACTTGCAATAAAATCAGATGTGACAATGTGGTTCAAAAATAACAGAGATCATAAACCATGTATAGGAGAAAGAGGGATAAATATACCAAGAACTCGGGAGAAGTAGGTTTCTGCAATTGAACATTACATTTAAATGTGAGCTTCCTGGTAGCTAAGACAGAAGGATAAACAAAAATAGTTTACATAGTTCTCATTATCTGATCAAAGAAAATACTCCATTTCTACAAAAGAGACCAAGTTATTCCTAGGACTAAAATTAAATTCTATTTAATCAATTTCTAAAATTACTGAATGTCTTTCTTATAGATATGCGAAAGTCCTAGTACAATGCTGTGCCATGCAAGCTCTGAAATAAATGTCAGTTTCCTCCCTACTGAACTTGGCACTAGAAATATAAAGATGCATATCCATTGTAACTAGTCTCTTGGGATAGGTAAATTAAATGCTTGAATATAGATGTTTACCAAATTCTATGGCAAGACTATTGAAGGAGCAATTAATTCTACCCGGAGGGAATGGGGGTCCAGGTCAGAGAAGTTGAATGAGACCTTGAAGTGTATGGTTCAGGAACAAGCTTTCTGTAAAAACGACTGCAAATCATACTGGCAGTATTTTCAAACCCAGTTTTCCAAGAGATATGACAAACATTAAAATATGTTTTACCAACTCCTGATAAAGGCAGAGGGTAAAATATTAAACAGAAATTTGGTGATGGCTTTTCTCCAAGGAATTAAACTGAGCAGTTTTCTGATTATCTAAACTGATAATGGGTACAGCTTAGAAAACCCGTAAGAATGCCTACCAGATTTACTCCCTGAAAAGAGAATTATCTCAGTGACTAATTTGACCAGAATTGAATAACAGTTGATTAACAACAGAACCCTTAAAAAGGCTTTGTGTTGTTATTGGAATGATCCGTATGCTTTAGGTATCGGACTTGGTTGTGACAATATTGGCATGCTCTTTAGGAAAGGAAGGGGCCTTGTATTCTTGCCTTCCTCTCATGGACGGGGTTGCAGGGTAACTATGGGTCAAAAGATTCCATTTTCTCATAAAGAACTAGAGCTAGGCAGAGCCCCAGGATGGCCACCCAGTTGAAAGAAGCATATAATTTTTCAGCATAATTTTTGACCTGCTGTTATTGACCTTCTCATTTCTAACTTTATCCAAGTGTCTTTCTGTTTTTTTCCTGATTTAATTTGGAAGGGAGATTTTCCTATTTTTAAAAGAACCAACTATTGAAATTGTTTTTACATTTCATTTTTGGTTTTCTAATTCATTTATTTCTGCTTGTATTTTTATTATTTTTTCCCCAATGTCCTTAGGAATGATTTTTGTACATATTTTGGCCAAATGTGTTGAATGCCTAGGTTGTTTGATCTCTTGCCTTCTGATAAATAATGGAAACATTCTAAAACTGAATTTATCTCTAACAAAATCTTAGACTGTATCTCTTATACTTAGTTACTTATTTTTATTTTTTGTTTTTTCTCTATATTTATTACCTTTTTTTCCTTGACCTAATAGTTTTCTAAAAATATATTTTTATATTTTCAAATGTTGGAGAGGCTTTACTGTAAACTTTTGGTTTTAAATTACAGTTTTATTACATCTTGGCAAATCATATTGTACATTTGGGCCTTTAGTCCACATTCCATTTTATCAAGCCATTGGTCCCAACTCTACAGTTGCCAGTTAACGTACAAAGTTATTAATCCTAATGACAAGACAAGGGACCCTATCGGGCAAGGTGGATTGCTCACCAAGCAATCACATACCAGGATAAAGATGAAGGGGTTATTTTTTTTTTTTTGAGACAGAGTCTCACTCTGTTGCCTGGGCTAGAGTGCCGTGGCATCACCCTAGCTCACAACAACCTCAAACTCCTGGGCTCAAGCGATCCTCCTGCCTCAGCCTCCCGAGTAGCTGGGACTACAGGCATGCGCCACCATGCCCGGCTAATTTTTTCTGTATATTTTTAGTTGTCCAATTAATTTCTTTCTATTTTTAGTAGAGACGGGGTCTCGCTCTTGCTCAGGCTGGTTTCGAACTCCTGAGCTCAAACAATCCGCCCGCCTCGGCCTCCCAGAGTGCTAGGATTATAGACGGGGTTATTTTGATTTATAAGGGGCTGGAGAAACTAAGTACACAAATAGCTCGGTTTTATTTATGTGGTTTAAATAAATAAACCACATAAATGTGGTCCAGTCATAGCAGCCCCACTTCAGGCATTTAAAAAGTGCCTGGTCCTGCCTAAACTTATACCAGTATGTTACAGACTTAGCACATACACATTATAGCTCAGGAATATTAACTCTTGTTTTTATCACTTGATATAAACAATTCCCATACTAATAGATTCCTTAAAGGTTGCTTCATATATAATTCACATCAATGGTCTTAAGAATAAAATTCTTTCATTTCTTCTCAGAGAGGATATGTAGAGAACCAACTGTAAAGTGAACCCCAATAGAAGTATAATCTATAGCCTGAGACAAGGTAGACCTAGGCATCCTGCAGCATTCCTGGGACCTGGGATGGAAACATTAATTCAGTTGAGATCACATCAGTCACAAATCCAAGGCCTTAATTGCTACAAAACTACCTAAGAGTGCCTGCTACTTTTTAGACTAGAGCAACACAGTCCATTTTGTTCAGCTCAAAGACCAAGTGCAAAAAAGTAAAGTATAAAAAGAGGGGCTCCTGATGTCCAAGGCAGGAATCAGGGTTTTGGCAACTTTTTTCAAGCTTCAACTGTTCTCTTCCACTTTCCCCAGATCCTCTCCACTTCTGGCTTTTGCTTGATGAAATAAAAAATATTAAGTGGCTAAAAGTGGAGTGGATCATAGGGTACTGCCAATGGGAGGGGCAGTGGTGGTAATAAATGCCAATCCCTTTTATGCTTAATCCCTGCTCCTCCCTACTATACATACTTTATCTAATTTTAAAAATAGTGTTGGCTGGGCATGGTGGTTTATGTCTATAATCCAAGCACTTTGGGAGTCTGAAGCAGGAGGATCACTTGAGCCCAGGAGTTGAAGACCAGCCTGGGCAACATAGCAAGACCCCACTTCTACAAAAAAATAATTTAAAAAAATTAGCGGGACATGGCAGCATGCACCTATAGTCCTAGCTACTTGCAGGGTTGAGGCAGGAGGATTGCTTGAGCTCAGGAGTTCAAGGTTACAGTGAGCTATGATGATGCCACTGCACTCTAGCCCGGGCATCAGAGCAGGACCCTGTCTTTAAAAAATTAGTTTATTGAGGAATAATTAGCATACAATAATCTGCACATATTTAAAGTGTATAATTTGACAAGTTTTGACATATGTATACACTTAAGAAATCATCATCAAAATCAAGATAATCAACATATGTGTTACCTTCAAAAGTTTTCCTCTGCTCTGGAGGCATAGCTCCCTCCCTCCTCTTCCTGCCTCCCACCCCAGGCAACCATTGATCTGCATTCTGTCACTATAGTTTGTATTTTCTAGAATTTTATAGAAATGGAATCATAAAGTATGTACTCTTTTCTTTTCAATCTTGCTTCTTTTACTCAGAAAAATTATTTTGAGATTCATCCATGTTGTAGTGTTTATCAAATAGTTTGTTCCTTTTTATTATATAGTAGTATTTCATTGATAAGCATACATCCCATTGCATGTTTATATATTCACCTGTTAATGGACATTTAAGTTGTTTTCTATTATAAAATAAAGCTGCTGTGAATATTTGTGTACAAGTCTTTGTATAGACTTTCATTTCTCTTAGTAGATACCTAAGAGTGAAATGACTGGATATTATAGTAAATAGATATTTAAACTGTTTTCCAAAGAGATTGTACCATTTTTTGTTCCCACCAGTAATGTATGAGACTTCTAGTTCTTTCACATTTTTACAAATACTTTGTCAGAGTTTTTAATTTTAGCCATTTTAATAGGTGTGTGGTGGTTTCTCATTGTAGTTTTAATTTGCATTTCTTAATGACTAATGATGTTGAGCACCTCTCCATGTATTTATTTGCCATCTATGTTGGGGAAGTGTCTGTTCAAGTCTTTATTCTGTTTTTTAAAATTTGGCTGTTTATTTTCTTATTATTGAGTTTTGGGAATTCTTTGTATATTTTGTATATAAGTCCTTTATCAGATATATGATTTGCAAATATTTTCTCCCAGTATATAGCTTATCTTTTCATTATCTTAACAGTGTCTTTTGAAGAGCATCGTTTTTAGTTTTGATAAACTCAAATTTACCAACTTGCTTTTGATTTCATATTTTTCAGCTCTGTTTTTGCTTTAGGTATTTTGCAACTTTGTTGTTAAGTTCATACATGTTTAGGAGTGTATTTTTTTTTTTATTTCAGCATATTATGGGGGTACAGATGTTTAGGTTACGTATGTTGCCCTTGCCTCCCCCCTCCCCCCCAAGTCCAAATTTCAAGCGTGTCCATCCCTTGGATGGTGCGCATTGCACTCTTTGTATATGCAAGAGTGTATTTATTTTTGATGAATTGACTCCTTTGTCATTGTGAAATATCTCTCTTTATTCCTGGTTATATTCCTTGTTTTTAATTCTGTTTCATCTACTGTAAATATAGTCACTCTGGCTTTCTTTTAATTAATGTTTGTATGCTATATCTTTTTCTCCCTTTTCTTTCTTTTCTTATTATTTTCTCTTAATCTGTGTCTTTATATTGAAAATGGGTTTACTGTAGACAGCATATATTTGGGTCTTGCTTTTTTTTTTATCCATTCTGACACTCTCTGCCTTTTAGTATATGGCCATTTACATTTTGTGAAATTACTGACCTGGCTGGGTTCCATCTTCCTATTTGTTGCTTATCCCATCTGTTCTTTGTTCTTTTTTCCTCTTTTCCTGCCTTCTTTTGGATTGATAGAATACTTTTGTGATTCCATTTTATCTCCACTACTGGCTTCTTGGCTATACTTCTTTGTTTTCTTAATTGTTTCTCTAGGGTTTACAATATATTCTTTAACTTACCACAGACTATCTTTATATAACATATTACCACTTCACATATAGTGCAGAATGGAATGCTGTAACACCTACATTTCCTCTTCCAGTGCTTTGTTGTCATACATTTCACTTACACGTGTCATAAACTCCACAACACCATATTATTTTGCTTTCAATAGTCAATTATCTTTTTAAAAAATTAAAATGCAAGAAAAAATTTCTGTTGTACTTATCTTTTGTTTTCTTTTTAAAAAGAGAGGATGATTTTTTATACTTACCTGTGAGTTTGTGAAACTATTCATCACATAATATTAAATAGTAAACAATTTATTTATTTTAATAGGTTCAGTGTCTTAAGAGCTGTAGTGGTCATTCATATATAAGAAAGAATTGGCTTGGATCTATCATCTTCCCCTTTTCTGCTCTTCTGCAACAATCGGAGGTAATAGAAAATGGTTCTTTGCTAATTATTCCAAGTTTTGACCTCTGGCTAATAGAAACATTTTCTGTTGTCTTTGAGTCAGATTCTGTGCTTGGCAGGTTGGTAAGTCAATTAAAATGATCCTGTACTAGAGTATTCTGGGTTTTAGAGTATTTGAAGGTTTGGCTGTCTCTAGAACAGGGAATACCCACAAATTCATTTCTTATATCTTTAGAGTGTTCACTAATAAAGAATAGGACAACTAGCCTTAGGTCTTAAAGCAACATTCATATTTGCATAAGAGTTCTGTCAGCCCAAATTCATGAAACATTCTCAATGGTGTTGCTTTGTAATGATGAGTCCCAGGAGTTTCAGCTTGTCAGCATTGCTTGTTGTTAATGGTGAAATTGATGATTAGCCCCTGCTCTCTGTGAGATCCTCAGAGGGCTCTGCTGTTGGGTTATGTAGCAAGACTATGCTTACATGACCAGCAAAGTATAAAAATCCCAGCCTAGACTCCATTTTAGGCTCTGTTACTTATTCACTGAGTGATCTTAGGCAAGGTCAGTGCCTTGATATCTCTGAGGCCATGCCAGACACAGAAGATTTAAAAATTCAGAAATGAGTTTTCTAGATCAGTGAGTTCACTGTCTATAGAGGAAAACTAACGTTTTGGTACAACGTGGTAATGAGTAGTGCTTTAACAGAGGCAGGAGATAGGTACTGTGAGAACATACAGTAGGAAGTACTTTACTCTTTCTGGGTTGCAGGGGGAAATAAGCGGGGATGGGGGTGTGATTCAGAGAGTTTGGTGGTGGATAAGCAGAGACTAAGGAGGAGAATGAAAGGTCAGGGAAGACTTTACTGAGGAGATAACTTTTGAATTAAGTCCTTAAAGATAAATTTGTCAAGCAACTGAGGGCTTTTGAGTGAGAAGGAATCACGTGTGTATTAGTTAGGACTGCATTCAGCCATATGCAACAGAAAACTTGACTAACAGTGGCTGATGCACGTAAGAGGTCTATTTATCTCACCTAAAAAGAAGTCCAGATGCCGGCGCAGCAGCTCAAGGATATCAGCAAGAATCCAGGTTAGTGGCTTTCATCCTCACTAATGCAAAATGTTCACTGCAACTCTAGCCTCAAATCTGTGTTGCAACAGGAGGCAGGGAGAAGCAAGCAGGGGCAATGCCTATATCAGAAAAACAGACAGTTCCCCAGAAAACTCCAACAGACTTCCTGCTTGCATTTTATTTATGTGGCGTGGCCACTACCTAGCTGTTACATTACAAACTAAAATTGTTGTTAAGAAAAGAGGAAATAGTGGATATTAGGTAGGAGAGTAGAAGTGCCTACATGGTGTGTGTTGCGAATAAAAAGTAATAGGGATTGAAGTTGTTGGACGTACAGGGCTTCCTACATTTGTAAATCCCTATGACATTTCTCAGTCTTAGGCCAGACTGTAAGTGAGAGAGGTAGTTAAGAATGTGGGCTTCAAAGGTGGACAAACCTGGGTTGTAATCCTGGCTCCACTACTCATTAGTTCCTGTGATCTTGCACAAAATACTTCAACTCTCTGAGCCTGTGTTTCCTTATCTGCAAAATGGAGATAAGGGCATTATCTACTCCACTGAATGTTACCATCTATATCAAGCACTTGGCACAGTGTCTTGTACATAGTGCTCAGTAATTATTAGCTATTATTATTAGTTATTATTGTAACTCACCTCTTCCCTCCAAACACACACACACACACACACACACACACACACACACACACACACACGATCCCTCTTCCTGGGTACCTCAGGGAGGTCCTTCCTGCTGTTACATTTTTTCTCTTTCTTGCATAGACCCAATGCAAACTATAACATGATCTTTTAGCTTCTTCTTTGAGTCTGAATTAGATTTTCTCAGAGCTTTTTATCAGTCTGGTATAGTAACTTGCTTCCTTGTTTCATCCCTTTCTTACTCCTGCCGTCTCTACACAGTATATGTTAGGCAGGGACCCAAGGTGTCAGGAGTACCTATGAACAGATCACGGAGAACCTGATCATTCTTGGGCAAGTACATATGAGTAGAAGCCCATGTACTCATGCAAGCCTGCTTTCTCCTATGGAGAGGACTGAGCTGGGCTATAATATTTAAGTGATGTTTGTTTTCATCATGCATAATCTATTACATTAATATACTCTTTCAGATTAGTGGAACATTTCAAGTAAATATTCCACCAGTTTTGCTTGGGTATACTTGGAGTAAGACTTATCTATCTCCTAAAGAAGATTACAACTGGCAGAATTTAAAAAAATGTACCTTCTTAAATATTTTTGCTACCATTGAACCTCAAATATCATATGTTACCTATAATCCAAAACCAGATAAGGTAAGGTTTTACACTTAATTTCTTTCATATATGCCATCAAAGAAGTTTAAATTATTTTAAAAACTAGTGATAATAATCTCAAAGCTGGCAAAAATAAACATTGGTTCTTGATATTTTCCTGTGGGAACAATATGGTACAGTACTTTAAATTTGATTCTAGTTTTCAGATCAAATAGATGTTTTGCAAAGAGCACAGATTTTTAAAAAAAATTGCAAGGCAATATTTCCTAACCGAAGAATCATAACTGCTGTCTTTAATGAAGAAGGGAAACAGATCTTAGTAACAAGATATATCAAGGCATTAAATCCACCTCGGCAACTTCTGGATATATTACTTCATGATTCTAGTGCAACACTTGTAAGTTATAATTATTTTTATTAATAACAGCTTCCTTGTGATTGAAGAATCCCTTTACCTTTTGTTTATTTGGGTTCAATCTAGTCAATTGTCTCTCCTCAGAATATTTATACTAGTTGTGGGTTATAAAGCTCTCTTAGCTTTACTCTTTAAGCTAAAATCAAAAGTTCTAATTTAGATTGCCTTTTGCTACCCTCTACTTTTCCATCATGGATTTCTTCCTGTCTGTTTCCTGACACCCAATATCCAAGGAGATAGTAGTGCTCTCAGATTTATTTCAAAGACTACCTTTATGTTTTAAAAAAGTATATAAATCCTAACTCCTTTGCTTGTCAAGGATTATGAAACTTGTTTATTAATTGCATGAAGTCACCAGTGTACAGAGTCATGATAGTGCATAAATGACAGCTATTGTATGTCAATTAAAATGTTAGTGAACTTTCTGTTCATTAATTCATTGTTTATGTGTATCCCTTTCTCCTTTCCTACCTTAGTCTGAGTCCTTGTCTCCAGCGCTATGTGGGGGAAATCCATGGTGTAGCTTCTGTTGTTTGAGAAAGCAGACCTCACCACTATCTCCCCACTGCAGCAGCTTATAATAAACTTATATTAATAAAAATAATTCAGATAGATTTTGAACTTAAAAGCAAATCAAACCATTGCTATTCTTCAACATTAAAAATATATATATATATATATTTTTGAGATGGTGTCTTGCTCTGTCACCCAAGCTAGAGTGCTGTGGCATCAGTCCAGCTCACAGCAACCTCAACCTCCTGGGCTCAAGCTAGTCTCCTGCCTCAGCCTCCTGAGTAGCTGGGATTAGAGGCGCATGCCACCACGTCCAGCTAATTTTTCTATTTTTAGTAGACAGAGTCTTGCTCTTGCTCGGGCTGGTTTCTCGAACTCCTGACCTCAAGCGATCCTCTGGCCTCGGCCTCCCAGAGTGCTAGGATTACAGGCATGAGCCACCATGCCTGGCCAAAAAAAAGAAATTTTTTTTAATAGTTACACTTTAAAGTACATGTTTAATGTTGACACATATTGTTATAATGTTTAAAATTTTAATTATTTATTACTGTAAAATATAATGATTAACATGCACCCTCTGGAGTCAAGCCAACTTGGGCTTAGTTCCCCAGAGACTTCAACTATATATTGTATTAGCCATATGACTCTGTACAGGTTATTTTATCACTCCAAGCTTGTTTCCTCTTCTCTGAAACTAGAATAATGATAGTTTCTACTTTGTAGGCTTGTAGCACATACTACATGAGAAAATGCATGTAAAGCACTGTGTTCAGTGATGAACATACAGTACATACTCAATAAATGTAAATTAATATTATTCTAGGACATCATTTCTCGATTTGTATCTTTGATTCCTTTTATGCCTGATACACTGGATGAAAATGATGGTTTTGATATATGGTTGACATCGGAGGTAACAAATTACATTTTATAATTAAAGTGCATAGTATTTTTTGCTTTTCTTTGAAAGAAGCCTTTTTAAAATATTAGGTATTTATGTAATACTTTGCCTTGTGAAATTTAGAAGTATTTGATAATTTTATCTACATCTTCAGTTCTGTAACAATCTATGGAAATAATTTATGAAGGCCAAAAATCTTTTCAACATTCTAAGCGGTAGCTCATGAATATTTTGATTCCACAGGAATTCCAAGAATACAATATTATGACATTCTCCAGAGAACAGTATGGTTGTCATTGGGGAGTTGGTCAGACCCTAAAGTCTTGGGCAAACACTGTCACTTCCCTAAAGCTTTCCTCAGTCTCCCCCAATGGAATGAAGAGCTCATATAGCAGTGCTCTTCCTTAGTACTTGGATTAAAGGTCTCTTTAGACTAGTTGCCAAATTAAATACAAGCCCCATGCAATATTTGGGACAAATTAATATTAAAAATTATTTGTTTATCTGAAATTCAAATTTAACTAGGCATCCTATAAATTTTTTTCTAAATTTGGCAACCCTAATTAGAGCACTTCTTCCATTTCTCCTTAAATTGTATTTAGTTCCTAATGTGTTGAGCCCACACCTATACCCTATACACATACATCCCAATTATAAACTCCTTGAAGGCAGAGGGAGACCTGGTTCTTATTTGTTTTTATATTCCTCACTTGTACACTGCTTTAAATTTAGCAAGCATTCAATAAATATTTTTAATTAGAAAATACAAATATAACAGGAGCCTAATAGAGGGACACTTGCATCTGGAAGTGATAGTCCTGGCACCTATCTAGAATGTTTCCGGGCTGGGTTTGAGCTAAACTGGATTTAAGGGACACAGGGCTAACTTAATAGGTTGGACTTAATAGACTTAACAGGTCTATTAAGTTAGCCCTGTGTCCTGCTAAGTGGACTGAGGAAGACACAAGCGTATGGTTTTGTTCTAAGATCTAGTGATTCAAATCTGGTAGAACTCAGAAAGGTATCATTCAGTCTAGACTCTTCTGAGACTCTTTGAACTAATCAGGATGTGTTCAGGGGCATTATGATTCTGCAGAACGTTGAATGAGGCTGAGCTAAAATTAACCATTCAGGCAAATACTATTATCCCTGAGTCTCCTCAATCCGAACAATACGCATAACTAAAAGGTTACCACAGGCTTGGGATTCCTCTTGGCTAATGTCTTTCCATTGACATGAACTCTTTTTTTGGCTTTGTTTTCGTTTGGTTTGGGTTGGGTTGGGTTTTTTTGCTTTTTAAAAAAATTTTAATTATTATGCGCATATAATAGTTGTATATCTTTATTGGGTACATGTAATGTTTTGATACAGGCAAACAATATTATTAATAAAATCAGGGTAATTGGAGTATCCATCACCTCAGACATTTATCATTTCTTTGTGTTAGAAACATTCCAATTCCACCCTTTTACTTATTTTAAAGTGTACCCTAACTCATTGTTGGTTATAGTCACTTTGTTGTGCTATCAAATATTATTCATTCTATCTAACTATCCATTGACATGAACTCTTTGGCCACAGGATGTCCATGAGTGTGTGACTGATTAGATTTCACAAAACAAGAGTTATTTTTCTCCCACCTAACATTCAGTCTTTGGAGTCAAAAAAACCTGAGTTCAAATCCTAGTTAAATGACTTCATATCTATGTGACCTAAGATAAGTTATCTAACCTCTTTCAACCTCAATTTCCTCATCTATTTCATATAGGAGTTTGAAAGGACTAAATGAAATAACATAAGCAAGCATCTAGAACTCAGGAAAAATGAGGATGAGAATTATTTACTCTCATCCTCTCCCTCCTCCTTTTATAAAATCCACTTAAGGGAACTTCCTTGACTTGACACTTAAGACTATTCTTATTCTGCCTTTAGCTCTCCCATTCACTTTTCATTCAGAAGGGCCTCCTTACCATCCTCCCTAACCCCCATCCGTCACCGTCACCTTCAGCCAGTGCATACTGATATGGCCATATCAGTTGTTAAAAAATTGAAATGCTTCCACACTGATCGTTATATAGTTACTGCCAGGAGCCCCCTAGTTCACCCCTACCTGCATCTCCCTGGCCACCACAGCCTTTTCTCTGGGACTGCAGTGAACTGGAAAGCACACGTCCCATCTAAATGGTGTAGCTGCTATTTGGCAACAACAGATTGTTGCCATATGAACATCTGGGCCCAGGTATTGGCTAGAGTTTTTTATTTTTTCAACAGAAGCCAGAAGTGCAGAGTTTTATATGAAATTTCACATTTTCTTTTAACATTCTGGAGGCGAAACAAAACACACCTGTAGACTAGAACTAGGTCATAGACCACCAGCCTCTGCTACTTCTGCAGCACTTTTTCTCTCCTGTTACACTGCTATGTGTTAGTAGGAACCCTATATTTGATCTATTACGCCCAGCTCAGCTGTTCAGCTCTTTCAGTTGAAGAAGTTTCAGTCACTCTTCCTGGCTGGGATCCAACTCAGATCTCTTCCTTTCTTTGAGCTGAAAGTACTGTATTGGTATAGGACAGCATGTAGCTCCATAGCCCAAAAGATCACTTCCTCCCAAACATTATGTGATTGATTCCCTATCAGATAAGATTCTTCAAAATACCAGTCTATATGTCCCTGTTTGACCAGGGCAGTTTAATATTTGTCCTAAACAAAAATGTCCCATTTTGGGTACAAACTATCTGGTTACTCTATACAATATCTATATTAAGTGCCCCATAATAAAGGTGACCCCAATGTTCCTAGTCAATGTTCTGTTCTTCTAATGCCCTAGCAAAGCCAGAGCTGTCTGCTTTGCTGTCATCTTAGCAACTTGGTAAAAATGAGTGAGTTTGGAATTAGAGGGAGTAGAGGGGCTCTAAATATGTTGGATGGCTGCATTATTCAACTTTCCTTTCCTTTTTTTTGGTTCTGATTGCTTTTGTCTTGCCTTAGCGCTGCATCAGTTTGGCTGTTGGAAATAAGGAGGAGCATGCCATACTTCTCTGTAATTTCTTCCTGTATTTGGGGAAGAAGGCTTTGGTCCTACTGGGAACCTCAGTGTTAGAAGTAAGTGCTGGAGTTTGTATTGAAATAATATAAGCAAAACCAAATCAGATTCCAGCTGCAAGTTTAAAAGACTTCAACTCTAAGTTTCCATCTCTTCACAAGCTAATTTGGAATTTCAAGGGCAATTATTACAATAGTTAAGAGGATCATGTTGTTTCATCCAAAATTTCTATAATACAATGTAAAGAATGACTTTCTTTTGTTGTTCTCCTTTATATAATAGTATTAAAAATAGTTCTACTTCATAGGGTTACTGGGAATATTAAAGTACCTAGTATTGCAGTCCCCACCCCTGGGCTACGGACTGGTACTGGCCTGTTAGGAACCAAGCCACACAGCAGAATGTGAGCAGTGGGCGAGCAAGCAAAGCTTCATCTGTATTTACAGCCGCTCCCTGTTGCTTGCATCACGGCCTGATCTCCACCTCCTGTCAGATCAGCAGCGGCATTAGATTCTCATACGAGCAGGAACCCTGCTGTAAACTGCACATGTGAGGGATCTAGGTTGCATACTCGTTACTAGAATCTAATGCCTGATGATCTGAGGTGGAGCTGAGGCAGTGATGCTAGTGCTGGGGAGTGGCTGCAAATACAGATTATCATTAGCAGAGAGGTTTGACTGCACAATAAATGTAATGTGCTTGAATCATCCCGAAACCATTCCCCCTTCCACAGTTCATGGAAAAATTGTCTTCCATGAAAGCAGTCCCTGGTGCCAAAAAGGTTGGAGACTGTTGGCCTAGTTCACATAAGGCACTGAGAATAGCACCTGTTCATGGTAAATACTCAAAAAATAGTGGTGGTGCTGGTTATGTAGCAATAGTTACAGTGTATTTGTGGTGGCTATAATCCACCATACATTTCTATCAAGAATAACTATATTTTAAAATCTTTAAAAAAAACATTTCTCTTCATGCTCCATTACCCAGGTTTTAATCTTACAAGAAGTGGGCCAGAAATTCCTATTTACCTATCAGAAATTTTTATAACTTAATTTATATACTTCTCCTGCATTCATACTTCTAGAAAACTATCCTTTTTGGACTGTTTCTAGCCCTACCAGGAGTGTCTTTTTTTTTTTTTTTTTGAGACAAAGTCTCACTGTGTTGCCCGGGCTAGAGTGAGTGCCGTGGCGTCAGCCTAGCTCACAGCAACCTCAAACTCCTGGGCTCAAGCGATCCTCCTGTCTCAGCCTCCCGGTAGCTGGGACTACAGACATGCGCCACCATGCCTGGCTAATTTTTTCTATATATTTTTAGTTGTCCAATTAATTTCTTTCTAATTTTAGTAGAGACGGGGTCTCGCTCTTGCTCAGGCTGGTTTCGAACTCCTGAGCTCAAACAATCTGCCCGCCTCGGCCTCCCAGAGAGCTAGGGTTACAGGCGTGAGCCACTGCGCCTGGCAGTGTCTTTTTAGTCTTTTTAAGTGTTAACATTTCTAGTCTTGCCTTAGGTTTTTGTAATAATCATTTGTTCACCTATATTCCCTTATTATTTCTTTTTTGAGTTTGTTCACTAAAAGCCTATGCCATGGTCAATTCCCCCCATATAATCCCCTGCTGTAGTTTTAAGTGCCACTAGGATGGCAGTAAACAGTCAACAATATTTTGACGTACATTTGCATCTGTACCTGTGAACCACACCACCGGAGGCAGCCATATAGGGCTTTCCCTTAGCTGCGTGGTTTAGCTGAAGCCTCCTGTATCCTGCAGAGAAGAGGAGCGTGGTGATCAAGAGCAGGAACTGTGGAGTCAGAGTGACCAGGCTACACAGTGTAATGTTAAGTATATGGGTTAGGGGCACAGTCAGACATGGGTTTTACACCCAGCAATGCCATTTACTAACTGTATGCTATCAGCCTTGTTTACTTCTCTGAGCCTCAGTTACATCCTTACAAAACAGGAATAATGCCATTCACTGTTAGCCTAGCTTAGTCTTTGATTCTTTATCTGAAAGATGGGCATAATAACCATCCCTACCATACAAAATTAGGAGTGAATTAAAGTGAGAAAGTGTGAATTCTTAGAATAGTACCTGGTACACATAAATAATCAATAAATGTTAAATGGTCTTATTATTCTTATTACCTGAACTTGTATTATTTGCCAAGAAAGGCTTACACTATAAAAGGTATGTGCAGAGAAAAATAATAACATAATGACTACTTTTTATTCCTCAGACTAGTTTCCTGTATACTTTCTCTTTAGCTTCTAAGTCTAAATCTTATTCTTAATTTTAATTTAATGGCTTAAATTTTTTTAAATTTTAATTTAATGGCTTGGTTTTATCAGAGCCGTAAGCCAGTTTGCATTCCGTAACTCTACCTGATGTTCACCCTTAGTCTCTAACTGTATTCTAATCAAAGCAGGGCTAGTCCATATAGCATCTTGTGTGAATTGGACAAAAGTGCCCCTACCTCAAGACACTGTAGTACTGTCTGTTGGGAAATCATCATAATATACTGATTTTGTTAGAATAACGTATTTTTTTGCCATGAGGATAATACCCTGCAGGACCATACCTGGCAGCACCGGCTCACAAGTTCTCTCATCTGAATCCTCATGCTAAGCTGGGCCTGAGGATTTCTGGAGCTTTGGGGATTTTTGTGTTTTCAAAAAATTAAAAAGCCCTAAAAAAGACTTTTAAGAATTAGAATCAGCACATTATAATTTCCACATACAGAAGTTATTTAAATGTACCTCAAATGACTTTAACTCTGTTTCCTCATACAGGGGCCCGTGGCTTATGTATTAACTCAAGAAACTGACAAATATTTGCTTTGGAATCCGTCAACTGGGCAATGTCATAAGCAGTTTGACCCATTTTGTCCCTTACAAAGTGTAGATTGTTTGTTTGATGATAGAAATGTGAGTGTATGGGGGAAATCTTGTTTTGGGTTATCTCCTCAAGATTCACTCTGGCTATACATTAGAATCACCTGGGAACTTTGAAGAAAATATAGATGTTCAATCAGAATCCCTGGGGTATGGGGCCTGGGCAATCTTTTATCCCTAAAGCTCCCCCAGGTGGGTCTGTAGTGCCTCCAAGGTTGAGAACCAATGAAGTAGTCTAGTGATCACAAAACCCTGGAATCTCTGTCTCCTGCCTCAGAATCTCTCTTGGCTTCTGCCACTTCATTGGGCAGTAAAATTTTGCTTTATCCTTACCAACTATGGGCCTTGTATTCCATGGACCTACAATGATTTTATGTTAATATTTTAATAGGTCTGGTTTAATATTCAACAAAATAATATGCCAATGGCTGTACATTTTGACTATTCAAAGGAAAGTTTCTGGAAGCGGTTACTTCCAAACAATTTTCAAGAGACAAAAGCACAAAGCATACAGGTAAATCATATTTTTCAAGGTGTGTCTGTATGAGAGTTACCATTGCTTCTAATCTTTATTAGCTCTTGCCATGGTTTGTAGTTGATTGCTTATTGAATTACTTGGCCATGTTAATCAAAAAGTAGTTTTCTCTGCCATCCAGCCCATGTTTGGGCTACTTTGGCCCCTTTCCTCTACCTGAAGGAAAAAGAAATTGAGAAGAAAGTGCCATCTCAAATGCGAATTTCAATGTTAAAATAGAATTTAAAATTTTTTAAACATAAGACATAGCATATAATGTTCAAGATGTATAGTAAGTTATTACTTTGACCTAGCCCTCCTGCTCCACATCCATGGTGATGATCAGGTATAAAAATTGACAAACAAAAGGCTTATCTGGGCTCCAAACCGCGATAATTATCTCACAGAATAGAAACAGGAGAGTGGGGCAGTGAATGGGGCTGAAGCAGGGATAGCAGCAAGGTCTGAAAATGCTTCATGAAAGACAAGGAACCAGAGCAAGCATCACTTTTTGAAGCCAGGGACTATGACGGGGCTCCCCTACTCTCCTACTTTTGAAAGAAGTTGGGAAGAAAACCTGTAGACCCACTGCCTGGGATACAGAAGGCAGGAGACTGAGATCTAACCCAATCACTAGATGGCTTGGCCAGTGGACTTGCAATGTACTGAGTATCACTTTGGGAAGGCACTCCAAATACAATATCAGCAGCTGTTTCTGGATTGAGGCCATGGTATGGCAGGGTGCAGACAATTGCAAAGTCTACAAACTTGGAGCTGTGAGCCCAGAGGGAGAGAGAGAGAAAGAAAGGATGAGAAAAAGAGAGAAAAAATAGAAAAACAGGAAAAAGTCATCACAGAAACAGAAACCCAAATGTTCAACCACACTCATAATCAGAGAAATGCAATTTAAACTACTATTAGTTTTATGAAATTAATAGTTTAATGTGAAATAAAACCATTTCACAGGCATAAAACTGGCAAAAAATTGTGTGATCATACATTTTGCCAAGTGTTGGCAAAGAGCAGAGAAATGGTGGGAGCGTAAATTCCTATAAACACTTTGGAAAACAATACAGTGATATCTGGTAAAGGTGAAGATGCTCAGCCTTTGATCCACAAGTTCAAAATTCTAAGTATATACCCTAGAGGAACATTCACAGGGAGACAAGTACAAAATGTTCATTATAGAATTGCTTGAAATAGCAAAAATTTGAAATAATTCATCAACTGGAAAATTGATACATGAGTTGTGAAGTACTCATGAAATGAAATCTTCCATACAGCAGTAAGAGATGAACCAACCGAACCAATTTATAATAGTTCTCAATTTGCCTGTACATGCATTACATCAGAATCTCTGAGAGTGGTGCCCACACATCAGTAATTTTTGAAGTAGTATGTTGGGTGGCTCTCCTTATATTATTCTCTATGCTTGTCTGCGTATTCGAGGCAATTCACACCATCAAAAAGAATGCATGGTGGCTGTGCGAGAAGAAACAAAAGAATACCCAAGCGTATAAAGTGAAGCGTTTCTCTCCCCTTCAACATTGTTTTCCCACACTGGAAGAAATAATTTCTGTCAGTGTTTTTTGGACATCCTTCTAACATTCTCTATGCAGATGCAAGCATATATATGTATTTTGATATTTCCCATTTGAAAAGTTATTTTAAAGAAGGGGAAATGTGCTTATCTCTCCTGAGCAGACATTCACAGCCTCTATAACCCATGCTTTGCTTTCCCATCCTAAAGCTGTGACCAAAGCATTGCTGCCTCCTAGGGGGTGAAAGACCTATTTGGAAATGAGGGTTTCGTTTATTTAATATATGATCGTTCTCTTATTCATTCAAGTGATGTTTGTTGATTTCAGCTATGAGCCAATGCTATGTTAGGTGTAGATACTACAAGGAAAAGGACATGTCTTGGTGCTCTTGGAACTTGGGTTCTAGAGGAGAAAACAAAGGAAACAAGCAAGTGCAGTACAGAGTGATCAATGGTGTTACCACAAAAGAAATGAATGTACTTTGGGAGCATGGCCACCAGAGGACCTGAGGGAGGAGGAGTTGCAGGGCTTCCTGGGGAAAAGTGAGGACAAGCTGAATGAGGAAGGGGGAGCAGGAGCTGGCCTAGATGGAAATCAGGGAAGAGAACGGTCCCAGCAGAGAGTGGCAGCAACGAGCGGGAAGACCCATAGAGGCTTCCCCAGTGTGTGGGAGGGGGTATGGATTTACAAAAGAAGATATTTTTCATGGGTAAGACAGACATGCTGTCCGCATTCATTTATTCAAACAAGCATTTGACATGCTCATTGATTCTACCAAATAATCTTTGGCAGCTATACTGGTCTTTTACACTGTGACTTTGGCAAAATTACTTAATCTCTCTGTTCTGAGTCTCAGTTACCTCATCTTTAAAATAAGGACAGTAGTATGCTTACTGCTCTAGGATCTTTAGAGTTTTTAAAATAAAGTAATACATGTAAATCCTGGTACATATGGAACGCTCAATAAACATCAGACATCATTATTACTCTTCTAACACAATTTGTCTTCTTCCTTCTTTGACTATTTGTTTCCTTCAGCTGCCAGGATCTAGTTCTTTATGTTTGCATGTGTCTAAGGAAATACTGGGGTCCATATTTTACCCATCGGATGAAGTGTTTCTGCCACAAGAACCTGGTTTGGATTCCTCCTCATTTTAGCTAGCACTCCAGGGTGACTGTAATGTAAAAATGATCTGTATAGACTCTTTCCTAACTTTTGGTTGTCTGTATTTTAGCCTGAAGAAATAACTTATACTGATACTAATAAAAGCATAGTGGAAGATCTAAAGAACAGGTATTGTGTTTTCTTCCTAATTTCTGGTTTAGTCACCTTTCAGTCCCCTGACCCAGCCTTTCAAAATACCTGCTACACTCAGCAACACAACATGAAAGGGAGATTATAATAGTAAGTTCCATGGAACCACCTGTCTCTTCATACATGCATGAAAAGTGACCCAGGACTTTCCTTCAAAGGACAGTCTAAGTTAACTCTGGGAAACATTGTGGGTTGCCGTTGGAAAGTTCTCAACACAGGTGCCTGTTCAGCCTGTAGTAATAATAACGCAGTAGCTAACGCTTTTTTTTTTTTGAGACAGAGTTTCACTCTGTTGCTCGAACTAGAGTGCCGTGGTGTCAGCCTAGCTCACAGCAACCTCAAACTCCTGGGCTCAAGTGATTTCTCCTGCCTCAGCCTCCCGAGTAGCTGGGACTATAGGCGCATGCCACTGTGCCCAGCCCGCTAATATTTTGTTTCTATTTTTAGTTGCCTAGCTAAATTTTTCTATTTTTAGTAGAGACGGGGTCTCCCTCTTGCTCAGGCTGGTCTCGAACTCCTGACCTCAAGCGATCCTCCCGCCTCAGCCTCCCAGAGTGCTAGGATTACAGGCGTGAGCCACCAGGGCCCAGCCTAGCTAACACTTTTCAAAAGACGTGAAGGCAAATGGCCCATGACTTGGGGGATGGTAAAAGCATCCCTGTTGGGTGGCAGAAACAACAGTGCTGCCACTCCTGGGCGTTCCCCACTTCCCCAAACACATACACACAAATGTCTTAAGGAATTGGTCAGTCAAGCCCAAAGGGTCACAAACTTGGCAGCAGGCCTCACTCCTACTCTAGATATGTCAGAAGCTCTAGATCTAACTGACTACAGTGACTCACACTCACAAAGCAGGCTGGCTTGTAAGCTACCACCGACCAATCAAAACAGAGCATAATAAAAATAGTTTTACCACTTTCTTTTCTCACTAGCACACAACCCCCTCCCCCACACCCTGTCATTCCCGTTCCTCATATCCAAGTTCTTACCAAAAAAGAAAGAAATGCAGCATGTAAATGGTTCTCAACTTCTGGTTTTCATTAGAATCACTTCTAGAACTATTTAAAAATACAAGTGCCAGGATCCCAGACCAGGCCTGTTGAATTAATATCCGGAGGTGAAACGTTTTGATAAAGCCCTACAGGGGATTCTGATGCATGGCCACTGTTGAGACCTTCTGCAAACTCCAACTGCTTAGTTGCACTATAAAGTCAACCAAGAGGAGATTCCCAGCAGTTTCTTCTTTAACACACACTGCAGTTAGAGAATCAATTGCACACAATTATCCTGCACACAGAGGCTTTTCAGGAAGACCTCATCAACCAACCCACACTTTGTCCCCATTCTCTCTCCTCCCGAGCACATTCATCAACTAGGCACTGTTCTAGGGGCTAAGTATACAGGTAAAAATCCCTGCCCTTATGGAGCTTACATTCTAGTAGGGGGGAGCTGATCACCATACCTCTAATACTTCTCAGTCCAATGCCTCGATTCCTCCTGACTTTGCTTGCTAAATTAACTGATCAAATAATCCCATCTCTGCTAACATCATCCCAGACCAGATATCTGAATTTTTGTAAAGGTGGTTTCTTAGAAATACTATGTCCTATGTCAAAGGAGGGTATTGGAATAGGAATGTCAACCCAGTAATCAGATGGTAGGTGTTGTCAAATCATACCCAGTAGGTAGCTTCCTACACACAGGTAACTGGAAAAGAGATGTCACTTGGAGAGCTAATTTTTGGCTACTCCAGGAAGCTTGTTGCCTTCTCAAGCCAAGCAAGAGCCTGCTTCTCCCCAACTTGATTAATATCAATGGTGGCAGATAACCCGGAGCTACAGAGATCTGATTTCCTCCTAAGCCCAAAAAGTATCATTCTCATACCTGAATAAAAGTGACAAAACCATTATCATATTTACTAGATGAATTGTAATTTGTCATAAAATTATCTTTGCAATCTTATCTTAGGATTGAAAGGACTCTAAAGTGTAAAATGATGGGATGGCGACCTCAACACCCAACACGTTGGAATCGACAATGTTCTTCTATTTTGCGACAAATCCTTCCTAAGCTAGAAGTTGGCAAAGGAAGCTTTGCTTCATATGAAAAAGAGAGTGAATTTGAAAGACTACTACAACTTTATTGGGTTTGTATATAATTTAATGCATTAATAACATTGTTTTATCTATGTTAGTTGCTAAATAATAGCAATCTTAAATATCTCCGAAATGCCTTTTGTCTTGATCCTGGAAGATAGATGCTATGGCATTAAAATGCATTTACTTATAGACCAAGAATAATTGTTCAAATGTAGTGAACAGTTATTACCAGGACCACATCGCATGCCATTTTCTTGAAACCAGTCACATATTTTATGATGTATGAGCTATAGGCTTTGGAAAGAGATGCCCAAAAGGAAACCACCCTGTAACTAAGAAAGTAAAAGATGATCTCTAGTAATAGATTGGATTCCTTGTCATTGGTTCTGGGCAAGAGGACCACAGACAAGCTTCAGTATCTTCCATATGCAAATTGCAGTCATCCAGGACAAGTGGTTCCTGGACCTCCATGGATAACAAAATTTATGGATACTCAAGTCCCTCATATATTAATAAAATGTCATAGTATTTGCATATAACCTATATACATCCTCCTGTATACTTTAAATCATCTCTTGATTACTTATAATAGCTAATTTAAGTAAATGCTATGTAAATAATTGTTATACTGTTTTTTA